GATTTTCATAAAATATCGACTGGTAAAATCGCAATAGTCTCTACCAGCCTTACAAATGCTCTAACACACAAACCTTACACAAAGCATCAAATTCGTCAAGAAATAGAAGTAACAAAGGGATTGTGTCTCAATGTTTAAAATGAACGAGTAATCAATAGTTTCAGTTCAGCTGCATTATATATACACGTCTTTGTTCGAGCCAGCAGAATGATGCTGCTTTGCGCCGATGCACTGCAAGCTCTAAAATATTATGGAGTCGTGATGGTTCCCCAGTTAAATGGTCCCCTCTAGACTACTATCAGCAACGGAACGGAGCGCGACTTACCATACCGAGAGGTGACAGTAACTTAAACTTTCAAGCGATTTTAACAGTAAACCGCAGCCTGCCTTTCACATACGCATTGATACCCATCTACAACTCCTAAGAGTGAGCCCTAACAAAATAACAAATACCTGTCACTGGCATACGATCGCACAGCTGCTTGTTCCTAGTGGTTCACTAGGAGTGTCATGCAGATAATTATGTGCCGTGATATTAAGAAGTGCCCTGACTGATGACAGTGAGCGAGACTGCGTCAATCAGACATGCGAATTTAGAAATAGCGCTATGTTACAGAATACATTAGCGTCCACAGCCTCCATTTCAGTCCTGGCAGTGGCGACCCTAAGATCATAAGAAAATCAAACACCTAATTAGGGAGACTCTACATGTCTATTAATAACCATGATATTATGCGTGTTCTAACAAACTGCTGTTCGCAAGAACTAACAATCTCCGGATTCGTACCGTCCTTGTGTTTCTTCCTGGTAGCCTAAAGGACTGCTCAAGCAGGCCATATTTCCATGGTAACTTTCATCATCAGCAATGCGAGGGTACAAAACAGTATCACTCGGCTGGGTTGAACAAAATCAAGTTCGAACATCAACAAATATACCTAATCCATAGACCTACGTATGATGCCTGTGTAAACAGAAAAGAAATAAGTAAAATGGCATTAAATATCATATGTGACACTGGTATGGCTTCTGCGTAAAAAGGAATCATACATCAAATTAAAAACAGTATGTGCGTTTATTTCAGCCTCAAAGTTCACCAACACAGAGGCTGATGTGCGCCAAATGGATCAAATTTTATGGCCTCTTTCGTTTCTTGTGCTTTCTTACAATAGTAAAGAAATCTGGAAATTTCGCACATAAAACATCTATTAGTTCAGTAATTATGCCGTAAAAGAAAGCAGTTCATGTGATTCGTGAAACCGGTTTCAACAGTTTCAACAATGTGAAAACGAGTGAAAGCAAAACTGAAATAACTAGAACTGTTGATATATCATCATCATCGAAAGAGCGAGGTCGCATTACCACCGTTGTATTAACGAACTATGACCTTCAGGGACGGCGATGCTGAATTGTTCGAATAATAACACGCCCTCTTGGGTAAGCTGTTCTTTGTCTTTACTGGCCCCGTGGGCGGAAAGGAGGAAGAGTTGCCAACGTTTACAGTTGAGAAGCCGCTGTGAGTAAAAAATTTTGCTATCAGACTCAGAACATGGCGATAATCACATTGCGGAGATCATGCCACCTGATGAAAATGAAATTCTCAGACTAGGCGCTGAAACGTACACGGAAGAAACTGTGGCTCTTAGAAAGAGCTTCATTGGGTAAAAGACTCAAGAGTGCGTTTTGCCATAAAAAGTTGAAACATTGCTATAAATCCATGCATAACCGAGGTGAAGGTTCATTGATTAAGCCACCAATGCGGATCATCGAAAAAATAAAAAGAAACTTAAAAGTTAAATGTACCATACATCAAAGGCGTGACATATGCATTGACAAAAACAGTATCAGTGTGCATTACGCATAGCGATACGAAAAAATGGGTACCACCTACCGAAGCAATTGTTCATTTGTTTTCTTTACTTTTTTTCGGATCGTTCGCCACCACGTAATGATACAAAATGACTAAGAGAAATATTGTCACACCCAAAACATTCGCGAAAACGGCTAGCTGCACGTCGGTAATCATTGTCCTCGGCTTAGACAGATTTTTCCTAAAATATCTGTTTATGTTGAATATGGAGCATCAGTATATTTATACGACAATTAATAAATGCATTAACTGGCGTAAATGTTGAAGCGACGTATACAATTGCATATGGAAAATGTTGAAACCGTCACTCTACCACAATGGCTATGCTAAGGAAAAACTTTCTCATCAATCTAAAGCAAACACACGAGCAGCCGGGTTGTACAACGAAAAGAAAAACGGTTTAACATGTGATCAACATGGTCATAGCAGAGCGAGACAGATGGGGGAGCTAATGGGCGATTACATTTCAACTGTTTGTGAAAGATACTGCTGACAAGTGATTCCAGTGGGGGGAAATGTCATAAAAAAGCCAATAAATCCTGCGCCAATCCACCAAAACAAAAACAAAATATATTTAATTATATCTTTCTTAGACGAGTCGCTGGCCTTACGCGTCTCGACATGGTCCGGAATAGTGACATCCGGAAGAGCCT